CACTAGACACTAGACACTAGACACTATTCTAGTAGACTAGAATAGTAGACTGCAAACCACTTGTTTTTTTTCTCTCTAAAAAACGGAACGCTGATAAGTCGTCAAAAGCGTGGCCTTCGATATTTATAATGCCAACACTTCGGTCTTTCGCCTGTTTTAGGCCCAGGTCAAACGTTGAACTTATAATGAGAAGAACCAAACCCTAATTTGGGTCGACCTAAATTGAGTTAAGATCGTCTGTTGGGTCAGACATCGAACTTGGGACGCGTCGTACCAATCAACTGAATCAGACCAAAGAGCAACTTTACTTACTTTTCTCCCGAACGGGGCCAAATATACAATGTCGTACAAATTTAATTCATTAGTTTAGTACGATCTTCAGACTTTCTATCCGTCTGAAGGATACGGATAGAACGTGTTGGACAAATTCATTCGTAACCCGCCAAAGTATGGTTCTTTTCATGTTTGTTTTAGCGTGGTTTATTTCTGCCGAATGTAATGGCTTAAAAAAGGATTTAATTGGATGAGCAATATCTTGTAGAATAGAGCTAGAAATCCGACAGAAACATACAATGAGGAAAGCCAACGCAACTTGTGACAACCTGTACATGTTGAAACATGGAAAGGAACTGGATAGTGATTATCTGGGCCCGGTGGTGAATTTAATTGCCCGGGAATGCGATTGCAATTCCCTGGGCTTGCAAATGTTGTCAGAATCTTAGAGATTGTGCTTGGGCTAGGGATATCCTGGCTATTTATTATTATTTATTATTATTATTATTATTATTATTATTATTATTATTATTATTTTCTGTGTGATGTTTTCGTAGCCAGCATTGTGAAAGGTTTGTCATTTCATAAGTAGGTAGAGTATGATTCGTCCGGGTGAACGCAGTCCTAAATAGGACTGTTGTTGTTGGCAGTGACTGACGTTTCTACAACCTGTGCGGTAGTCATCTTCAGAGTCAAAGTGAGTTGTATCACGTCAGTTGATGTTATTAATCTCTGGTTATTGACCTGAGTGGTCAATTAAGTCGCGATGTTATTGGTCGTCTGTCAGTTAAGCCGTGATGTAAGTGTTTTCGATCCACCTATTGTCACAGTTAAACAGTCGTTTATGGTTAGTCAAATTTTCAGTTGTCCAGTCGTTCTGTCGTAGTTAGTTTTGCTTGTTTTCGTCAATAAGTCGTTTGTACGGTGCCGGTAAATGCAAAGCACTCTTTATTTCACGTAGTTTATGTTTTTGTTTTTGTTATTTCCTGTTTTATTGTTTTGCAAGTAGTCAAATTTGTAAAACACTTTTAGGGACCATTAATTATTTATACCAGGGGGTCGGCTGGCAAGAATGAGGGGTGGGCCACGTCAAAATCAGGACAGTCAGAGGCGGGGGGGCATCAATAAATCTGCACACAATGAGGGGGGCCTGCCTAATTTTTTATTTTTGTTTTATTTTCAAACAAATACTTTCAGTGCTCTCGGGACTAACGGTGCACGGTTTTCAAGCCTCCTACAGGCTAACAGTTCATAACTGGCAGTTTAAAGCTAATAAAGAAAACAGTCACAATTTCTACGAAATGATATGTCCCAATACTACGTCCAGAGGTCTTCCTCGTTAGTTGTGGTCCCTGAGGAGTTCCCACTACTGCAATGATCAACAACAAGGTCAAGCTCGCAATCCCCTTTTCGACAAAATTACTAGAAGACAATACTTCTTGCTCTTGCCTAGAGATGTTTGCGTCGATTTCTAAATTAAGCTTGTTTGAAAGAAACATGAGTGATGATTCGTTGGATTTTTCCGTTTTTTTTAATCTGGCCTTTCAGTGAAAGTTTGAAATGGAATAAATCCATTTCTTCTCCGTTACAGCTGCTGGATTTCACCAGGGTGAAATAGAGTGTCCCAGTTAATCTACTCGGCTGTCTGACTTACATTCTGTGGAGGGTTGCCACTCGGCTGGAAGTGAGCTTCACGGAAATCCATGATACTTTTTTATGTTCTATGGTTTGTTTTTTATCAACCCTTTATGTTTGACCAATACTCTTTACTCTGGAATGAAAAACAAACTCTCACTTGCTTTTCTGATACAAAAATAATTTGAAAAGAACTGGAGTGTCATCGATCAGTTGCGGCTACCATCATTTGCCACTTTTCAGGCATTTTTTGCATTCGCTCTTCTTTTATTTCTGCATACCGTAGATCCTCTATTAAGCCCCCCCCCGGGGGCCTATTTATTTCAAGCTCATTTGAGGGAGGGGGGGGGAGGTGTCTCAAAGGAAATCTGTTGTACCATTCGATCAAATAAGCTATATACAGCGACTTAGCTTTCTACTTTTCCTAGCTCATCCAAATAACTGTCGTATCCCTTGCTAATGTCACATGAATCCTGATGTTACGAAATGGACGTCCATTAGCGACAGGGACGAGACAACTTTGCCATGTTAGAAGACTGGCTTTTCCTTTTAATGCTTCCTTCTATTTAATGCAACACACGCCACTTTGGAGGTCTGAATTTCGGATACTGAGGCAGGGGCGGATCTAGGGGAGGGTGCAGGGGTGCGCCCCCCCCCCCCGAGATGACCTGCGGTTTTCTAATACAACTGGTATTCTGCAAAAAAAATCTGTGTGGTTTATTGGTGTTGGCAAGAGACGAGTTCACCCCCTCCTAAAAAAAATCCTCTATCCGCCCCTGTGAGGGTAATTAAAGAAGACACAGACAAAAATAAGAACTTTGGGAATTTCGCAGACAAGTTCAAAGCTTCACCTGGACATCCCATCTGGGAGCTTCAAAAAGACCAACTTGAGGAAAATACAGTAGGAGTTATTTCTCACAAGGTTTGCTGACTGAGTAGAGCATACAAGTGTAGCCCAGGTCGAGGTTTCAGGGGGGTTGCTTTTGTTTGTAGCTGTATCTTGCTAAGCTTTTATCACATGATCTTGTTATCACAATTCTGTGTTTTCGCCCATTCAGCAAGCACGATATATCGATGTCAGCAAAATTTTCAACTCGCGCGATGTTTCTTGATGTTTCTTCTACCATTTTATGGAGATGCAAACTGAAGTCACCGAAAAATGGGAACTTAATATAAAAAAGAGTATAATCCATTTATCTCGAAACATAATACAGATAACTTACACGACCTTTATTTTCCTAAAGGTGTTTTGAATAGGAACGAACACAGTAAACGTGTGGGGCAAAAACAGTATTCATATGAATGAACCATAGGATTTTAATTAATATAAAGGTCAATTATTGTGCATTGAGACTGGTATCGCTTGAAAAGAAAGTGTTCGCTTGCAGATTTGATCAGAGGGCAGTAAACAAGGGCAAAGTGCGTTACGTTCAGTCTTTTTAATATCCAAGGACTGTGAATAGTGTTTCCATATTGTTTAGCTGGCACAAAAACTTCGGACTGTAGACCGCAAATTAGGATCGTCTATTTAAAGTCTCAGTGCAGTCAGTGAGGTCCCTGCATCGGGATCAATGGGCAGTTGGCTGTCTGTTTTGGCAGTAAACTTCTGGTTTTCATACAATACAATAGTTCTGTCTAGTGTAAATCAGCCCAGTGACGAGTAGCTGACCCTGTCGCATTTTATACTCGTAGAACTGGAATTTCGGGTTACATCAAATTAGTCACGTCATACTGTCACGCTTTATTTTGGGAGACAGAGGGATTGGGGGAGGGGTGCGTGAAGATAATGCAAATCGTTTCCTGCTTAAAATTATAATGGCTAACTTGTTTGATTCGTAATGGTGGAAATTATAAGTTATTATACAACCCCCACTTAAAAATGGTACTCATTTTTTTTTGTTACGAAAGTCTTTCAAACGGGTACAATGTTCTGAATGAGTTTTTGTTTCAGTCTCACATGAGATTCTGTTTCACGCTATGGTCGGCGACAAGGTTTTATGGTAGCCTGAGTGTGTATAGCGGCCCCCTCCCCTCAGGAAAAAATAGCCCCTTGGCAGCCTAGTTAAAAATCGCCTTTCGGCGATTCTTGTTTATTCATAGTTCGAGCACAGGAGAGAGAGCAGAGTATATCACTGAGGATGAAAAGGATCTGTTCGATATAGTGATGCAAACTAGTTCAAACACTCAATAATCTTAGCTTGCGTTTTGTATTTCTGTTCTTACACACAATCTAATAGTAATTCTCAAAACCACTGAATGAATGATTTACAAAGTACTTTCCTTATATTATCCGCATCTTCTTCCCCCACTAGCAGCTGTTTCTCTTCTGGGATAACTTTTAAAATCGTCGCTTTTTAGCTTGAAGGTTCATGTTTTTGTTGTTGTGTTCATTCACGAAAAAGAAATCCGGGAGCGTTTTTCCCCCCTTTGTCACGCCACTTTCCTCCATGCTTTGATCACGTGCTGTAATGTATCCCGAGCGGGGATGTGACCAAGAAAGAACCAATGGCAGTCCGTGTTTAGTTGAGTGAAAGTCTAGGGATATAACAATTTGATTTGTTTACTCTTGTTGTTAATAAATTAATTTTTTTTTCACCTTGTCTTTTTCCATTGTAATGTTCCTTCTCTTCTGGCAAGAACGAATAAAAGTGCTTACCATGGCATACTTGGCGGCCTTTCGACCTTGTTACAGATCTGATAACATTTTATACGGGAAGTTAAATGCCAATGTCTGGCCTTTGTCCAATTCAATTTCCGTTAGAAAGTTTGTTGATGACAAACTGTGCTTGTTAATCTTACATATTGATCCCCTTTCCAGCCCGGCTTCCCTGGTTCCGTCACAGGACACAGAGGAGTTATTTGTGACTCCATTGATTGTTGATTGTAGTTAAGTTTTACGGTATATTCCGCGCATCGTCTGATAAACCCGGTAAAGCTCCGCTTTTCGAATGCGTCGTCGCCCTTCTGCCGACGTTCGTTCCCACCGAGCATTAGATATTTAAATAGGGAGCTGAAGCAAAAACGACGGCGACGGCAACCAGAACTGCAAAAACGCAATAGGTTTAGATTGGCAGAACAACAACTTTGCGGGCGTATCACGCTTTTTCGTACATTTCTTAGCCGTCGTTGCACGACTACGACGTGAAAGTGCCTAATTTCACGTTTTGTCGAGGAAGGGAACACAATAGACTACAAGTTTCTTTTTCTTTTCTTGAACTTTGATAGAATCCTTTAGAATTCAACTCCAAAACAATTTGCCAACATTTGACGAATTAAACGAGATGGAATAAGCGCGATAAAGTCTGAGGCAGCGGGACTTCACTTTTTAAGTGACGTTTTCGTAGCCGTCGCCATCGTTGTTGCCCCCAATATTTTATCAGGTTTGTAACACGATCGCATGACAATTTGATAGGTCTAGTTCATAGTCCATTCAACAGCAAACACAGAGGCGAGTCGTGCGATCGGCTGTAAAATTTTCGCTTTGCTTGCCATCACAAATAACTCCTCTGCGCCCTGTAGCTATCATCAAATGTCATGATGATCCTGCTACCTTGTTTCTGGGGTAAAATATCATTGGTAATAACCGTTGTATTCCTTGTTTCAAATGCTTCAGACCCTTGTGGGTCTTACAAAAGTCTGGATAACCCGTATCGAAGCACTGGCTATGTGGCAACAGAAGGGATTGATCCCATGATTTGTGATTATAATCTACAAACTGGGTGGTATCGCTTTGTTAGTAAAGTAGGAGGAAAGATGCCTGAGACAAAAGTCGGCAAAGGCCACTGTGGAACAATTGCACCGATTTGGATGCGAGGCAAACATCCCTCGAATGCGGAAGGTATCGTTAACCGAACCGCTTGCGTTAACTTCAAAAACCTGTACGGTGGATGCATACCAGTTCGTATCAAAGTTAAGAACTGCAACTATTTTTTCGTCTACCGTCTAGTAGCACCATATGGTTGTCAAATGGCTTATTGTGCAGGTATGCCCTAAAGTTCTGTTTCAACGGAAATGAAGTGTAGTGAGCGACATGTGTTAGTTCTATTCATTTCTGTTAACTGGATTGGCTAGAATTAGCAGCAGTTTGATCACGTAACAAGATTATTTAATCATAAACAGTAAGGCTACACCTTGGATAGGTCAATAAAAACAGCGGACAGGTCCGTGAGCTGTATTGCGTTTCTGTTGCGGCAGACACCTCTTTCCTTTAAGTGTCTTCCTGCGAATACAAATCAGGTTTCGAAAGCTAACTGTTTTTGTCTTCGCGTTGCCTGTTTTTCTTTGCGTGTCTGTTTTTTTTTTAAAGGCAGATTGAGACAATTATTAACGACAGATGTGGACCTACGATTTATCACTTTAAGAAAAAAAATTGTTAAAATAATCGGGCATTGATGGTGCAGGCATTTACGCACCTTGACAGCAGTAAATGTTTTTGAGCTAAAATTGCCGTTTATCGTCGATGCAGAGTTACCGAAGTGACTTTAGGCTCTGGGGATATGTGATCGAATTTCTTTAAATGGAGGACATTTTTTTCCCCCAAAGTTCTCGACCAGTCGTATTTGCTTGTGTATTTTTGTGTTATGAGCTTCACAAGGTTTTATGCTTTACCTAAAGTTAGCGATTCAATTGTTCATTCAATTCCCACACTCTGAAAGAAATTGCCGCCTAGTTTGTATGAACTCACCCCGCGAACGTAGTCAGTAAAACAAGGAAAAAAAACAGTTATTAGTATGATTTGAATAAAGCAATGACAAAACAAATGGCGTAAACGTCACTTCGCTCAAAGATCAGAAGTTTTTCTGTTTCTTTTTTTTTAACTGTCGACATTGGCGCCGGTATTATATTGTCTTTTTAACGCTCGCACGTCCTCCGAGCAAATTCAAACATTCGTGTCAAAAGGAAATGCTGTGTAAAAGTAATTAAGAAATATTATAATAAGCTCCACAACAATATACAATGATGTTCACGACGTTTGGTCATCTTAAAATGCAACTTGACCCCAAACAACTTCTGGCGTCATATCTCGTTACCATAGCAACCACTCAGCACCACACTTGACCCTCACTAAGGAAAAAGAGGATTGGCAAAGATATCATAAAATGCCTTTTATTGACTGATTGATTGATTGATTTTCTCACACTATACTGTGACTATACTGTTTCAGGTACTTTAAGGCCATGCCCGAGAGGCCAAAGTGGTTTATTCCCAAACTGCACAGGTAAAAAAAAATGTTGTTATATGATACAGTTGGTAGGGTGGCGCCTAATGTCAAAACAAGTTTTTTACTCAATGATATGTTGAATATCGCTAATATTTACTCCAGTGCCCGGTGTATAAAAATTTTAGTTTATCTTCAGCTTGTCTTTCTTATTAGTTCTCCGGAAAGCGGACTTTCCTTTTCATCAAGTTCCAGTTCCCAGTGTGACCTACATTGATGACAACGAAATAAAGGTTACATTAAAGTGCGGTGTTAAAGTACCACCTTGGGGCAATGTCTCCTTCGAGATCCAGTGGTTTGTCAACGGCCAAGTTTCAAAATCTGCTCAGTGCAATGATCCAGCTACAAGCCAATGTGCACATTTGCAAAATTATCAACTTGGAAGTCATGTAATTTCATTTCCTTTAATATGTATATATTTTTTGAGTTAGAAAAAGGTTTATCTTCCTTGCCTTCTTTCTTATTATGCATAGTCCGGCACTTTCACATCCCCACAATGCACTTTATTTGCCCCCAAAATTTTGCATAAGCATTGTTTTCAATTTCTCTTGGGACAGAGCCTGTGAATGAAAAACGGAGGTAGTACATTATAAAAATTTTGGCGTGCAAATAAGGTGCATTATGGGAAATGTGAAAGTGGCGCATTATTCGCTATAGTAGTCTTTTAAAGTATTTCAAATCTCAAAACAGGCCTATCTAAAATGTAAAGTAAGGGACTGTGCAATAATTATCAGGAGGGGAGGGGGGGGGGCTGAAAAACTAGAGTTATCTAGCAAAAACTTAGACAGTACCCCCTCCAAAACCCCCCCTATCTTGGCAGCAATTTTATGTAATGCCCCCCCCCCCTCTAGTTTTTCAGTCCCCCTCATGATAATTATTGCACAGTCCCTAAAACGTGAAATCTTGCGGGTTCCCAGCAGTTTCAGGATATGGGGGTGTTTACTCTAACAGATACTGTTGTTCATATACCCGTTTTCAACAGTCCAGTATTGTGTATTCTTGCAATGTTTTTAAATCAGTAGTTAGGCTGCTTCTGTCTTCTCGTTGAACGTTTGAAGTCTTTCACCATTGTCGTCAGCGTTGCACTGCAGAAACGGCTAATGTGACCTCGGCTTTTCTTCAAGTAACGACGATTTGCTATTCGATATTCTGGCCTGCGAACGAAGACTTATTTCCGGTCGTCGCTTCTCGCCACCCGAAAAGTAACGTCTGCTTACCCAAACCGCCAAACGAATTCTGGGACGTTAGACATTATCAGCCAACTAAGTGGCGAGAATTCTCGCAAGATTCGTGCGCGGTGGGTATGTTTACCAGTCGAAACAACTTAACGGCGCGTATACAAAAGTTAATTTGACAGAATTGTGGAACCGATTGATGAAATAACCACCAAGCGGGCTTATAACGAAGAAGAGATCAGAGGATTATTCTTATCTATTTGTCTACGGAGTCAATAATGTACCACACTTTGCTGCAATATATCAAGCATAAGACGCAGTGTTTCATCACCAGATGAAACACCGAGAAGAGAGTTATAAATACGACGCGTAGCGGAGTGTTTTCGACGAACTTCGAGATGTTTCAACTGGTGATGAAGCACTGTGTCGAATGCTTGTTATTGCTTCTATTTCAATTAAGGTTGCTCCCGTGGCCTGCAGTGCACTATGGTAAACCCTTTTGTTGCTGAAGTAATCGTGTAGACCATTCGTGAAAAGGCATTTAAGAGAGCTTTCAAGTTAAATGGCTGCAAAAATTCTTAAGCATGAGCGAGCTGAAAGATATCATTTCCAAAATCTCACAGTAAAAAATTAGAAGCCTCTTCTTTTAATAACATTAAATGAATAGGCTTTTTTCCGTCTGATTAAGCTCCATTTTTGCATGAGCCATAATGCTGGTTATTTCAATAAAGCAAATCAACGCTATGCTTTTTTTGATTCAAGTTTTAAAAAAATTGCCTCAAAAATTGATAAACACGTAATGTTAAGTTATTTATTGTTGTTCAACAAACGCCTTTAATTTGATTTTTTTTAACTCCACCCAAAATTCCCACGTGCACGGGCCAAGCAAACTCGTTGAAAATTTGCAGCATTTGCATATTACCACAGAGAAAAACCTAACTTCAAATCACTGTCTTAAATTAAAAAGCCTAGGATTCAGTGTTTTGAAATAAATTTTCTTAACGTTCTGCTGACATAGCATAGAAACATTGGCAGCGTTTGCTTTCTAGGTTTCTAGGCTCGTCGCGGGCACATAATTTACTAGACTTGCGACAATAACCCACCGCGGGCTATGAAACGTGGATCATGCATGCATCATTCTTCTCTGAAGCAACCTTTTAAAATTGAAATAGGTGTATACACCGTTATACGCACCTTATAACTTCATCTGCGCTTAACGAGTGTCTTTGGTCCATAACTTTCAAAACAACTGCTCCACAGATAACACAATGATAACTGATAACACATAACGCAAAAGAGTATCGAAGTATGACTGTAAAATTAATGTCACAAATTTACCTAAGCGGTCCCTTCGGGATTTTCGATTCTGTCTTTACTTCATCCTAACCATCTCGTACTTGCGGACGCGAACAATAGAAACTTCATCATTTCCTATCGATTCCTCGAGGCCCCTGTTCAAGCAAATCGAGATTTTTTATGGCATACTGACTGTATATTTCAACTGTAAATACTTTATATACCCGCGAGTTACTAGAGTGCCTCAGGTGAAATCCCCGCGGGGGCAATAACAAACCTCAGAGCAAAGCCATCTTGTTATGAAGAATTAACCGGAGGATTAAAGCCAATCAGAAACGGAATGAAAAATATGTGACACGAATAATAAATACAATGCATCCTGCGTTTTTTTGATAACGAACCTAGCAAAGTTTGTAGCCATTTGAGTGGAAAAGGGTCAGCAAGCAATATAGAAAAAGCGAGGAGAAAGAAAGGAGGACTTTGAGCGAAAAGCGAAAGTTGCGCTCTTAGTTTAAATCATATTGGCTACTTTACTTCTCTTTTGAACAAAAAAAAATTAAAAACTACTTGACCCCATACATTTTCAAGCGTTCAATACCATATAATTGTTCAGTGAATGATGAATATAGATGGTTTGCACAGTGACGTCATTAAATTGTGAAGTCAAAATAGCGAGGTTTTGCGATGTCTTATTTACACTAGGTTGAAGATAAACAAAAAGTAAATCTTTGTACAAGCTTCCATTCCCGTAGCATGTTTCATTTCGAAAATACTGCAATTTGAACTTCCTAATTTTAACAGTGCCTGACAACAAAATAGGAATGCTGTCTCGTTGAAAAAAAGTCTCTCCTCTTGATTTTCAGCAGTATAACCATCTCAAGTATTAGAAGATATGTTTATGCGTACGTATGCTAGTTCTCGAGTGAAAAGAAAGGGCTTTTATAGAAAAAGTGAACTCCAGATGTTTTCGTTAATTTCCGGTGGCCATATTGGTGCACCAAAACGGTACACCAATATGGCGTCTCCATACAAAGCTCTACAAAGGTGCGTGAAACGTTTTGACAAATAACTCAGAAACTGTCAGCCACTAAGACCTGAGACTTAGACAAATTGTTTATTTATTAGTCTTTTATAACATTCATTTTCTTGGCCTCTTCCACTGGACGGTTTCCAATTTATTTTTTGTTGCGTGACAATTAACAAAAACAAACAACAACAACAAGTTTATTTCAAATTAAGTATAGCTTACAAAGCTTGTGCCCGCAGTTAGCGAAGGCTATTCGAGGCGGGTACAAGAGAAAAAAGAAAATTCTATAAATATATATCTGTCTGGATTTGATAAAAGGTACCTCCAGAAATTTGTAGCAAGAGTCTCATTTGAGGCTTGTTTAGAGCTTGACCATTCTTTTTTCAATGATCTTTGTCAGTACAAAAATCAAACAAAAATGACATTTGAAATCAGCGCGCGCGGTAGAAGTTGTTTTCCGTGGTCGGTTAATTTTCTAGGTTTCTTTTTGGCCGTCTCCAGCAAAGTTTTCCGGGAGGCATCATTAAGCCCTATGAAGGAACAAGTCTCACGATTGGCAAAGTCTGCCGTCGTTCAATATGTTATCGTATTTCGTCTCACTTTGGCTAAACGGGTGAAACACTGATCTCGGGCTTGAGACGGAAAGGCATCATATTGCGAACTTTGATGTGGGCGGTGACGAGTCTCTGGCCTCAAAAAGGAGCATTTAGGAGTCAAAACTATTCGGCGAGAGCAAAATTGATGACCGTTTTGAAAACGGCTCGTCTACATCTGGGATCTTGAATAAATCGACTGTGAGAAAGCGACAGTTATTGAGAGAGAGTAATGTGATGATATTTCGCCCGTACGCGTATTAAGTGTGGAAACATTGTGTCTTGTTGGTTGTGGATAGTTTTATGAGTGCCGCGAACATGGTTAATTGTGTGATTTCCTGAAGTTGTTGACAGACAGATTTCAGGTATGTCGTGGAGCTCGTGTTATAAGAATATTGTGTACAAGCATGAAAACGCTTCGTAAGTGTTTAGTTGAAGTGATTTTGTCTTAGACAACCGATTGTGGGGTCAAGAAAGGCGGTTTCTAGGTCTGTTTTAGTCGGGCATCTCGCTAGGAGCCTCATAGTTTAAGAGACTGAAAGGTCATTTTTTCTGTGCTTTTAAATGTTGTTCATTTCGTTACAAATCTATCGCTTTTGCCAAGAGCAACTTTTCGTGTGTTGCCAGCGATTAATTCGTCCGTTTTAAGCCCCAACTAGCGACTTTCAATTGCTTTTTATTGACCTCAGGTGTCAAATTGTTAAAACGCACTTCCCTTTAGTTCGCTTTTGAATTGAATTGCGTGAAAGTGAAAACGAGCTAAATTTCAATATTCAGAAATGACCTTCTTACTCGATGAGACACAGCTAAGTCGTTTGTCCTTTTTAAAATAACATAATCAAAGCAAGGATTACTTCGATGTGAGTGCACTATGCCGTTCTCTCGTTGAAAAAAAAAAAGGCATTTATTTCGCTTACTAAGTTGCCTCCCTACTGAACTGAAGATGAATTATCAGTTACAAAAACTTGTTAGCATAAGGCTTCTTTTGACTTTAATAAGTTTTTGGTCTTAACATCACGGTAAAAAGCTCGAGAAATTCCAGCAAAAGATCAAACAAACACATCATGTTACATCGGTGTATTTACGTGGACATTTTTTAAATCCAATCAATGAGTAAAAAAGCACGCGACTGCTTTAGTTGTAATGACAATACAAATTTTCTAAAACGACATAATGCTTTGAACGTGGGTCTTACACACGAAGATTAACTTTTCAGTAAACATAGTATACCTCTATTTCCTATCCTAATCTATTCTATACCTATTACCTGTACTAATCTTAAC